AACTAATATGCATTGGTCTTTTTGTTCCCTCCCTTTTGTATCTGTCCCTTCACCAAACCCTCTGCATCCACCTCCATGTGAGAGCCGTGCTGGGGGAAAGGATGAAAGGCTGACTTCGTGCATCCTGAACGGCCGGAGGAGCCATGGCACGTTTATTTCCCCTGATTTTAGTATCTAAGCCCTTACCCCTCTAGGGGACCCTGAGGTGGACTGCTTTATTATTCCCAACATAATCCCAGGCTTCCCATGGCCAGTAATGAAATATATTCCCACTGTTAGGGGCAAGAGCTTGCCCCTTTATCAAATAGCCCCAACGAAGGAAACCCACTCGATCCCCGACCCCAGGCTCTCCTTTGACCACGGCTCCAAACACTGCAATAACTACCCCTTCACCAATCCTACTAGTACAGTACCAACAAGTCAACCGCCAAGGGACATTTCCCCACTTCCCAGCAGGCACAACTTCAACACCTCTACCCCCAACCTCCAACATCAACCACCCCATCCTCCCTTATTAAGACCTTACAGCCTATAGCCCCATCTCTCCATAAAACTACCTCCATCAACACAACTCCATCTGCGCACGCCCTCCGCCCATCTACCACCCCTATCTCTAAAACAATCTTGAATACTCTCGTCATGCAGCCAAATGGGACCGATTTTTCTGATCCCTCCCACAGCTCCCTACTCTAACAACACCCGTCTCTCCAACATGCTCCAAAAACAAGTAGGTAAAGTCTCGTTCCGGAGCCGACCCGACCGCTCCCTTCTTGTAACGAGGAACATCCAAACCAAGCATAGCATTAACAAAACTATCTGACCTCTATGGTAACCCCATCCTACAGAAACCCCATCACAACCCTCAATACTTGCAACGGAACAGTCTCAATCTCACCAACAAATTGCCCAATCTATGAACAAAGAATGGTCAGATTAGGAGAAGATCTACTTGCCTTCTCACGACTACGAATGCAAACATCAGTACATGGCTATTCCATCCCCCCCAGAGGTCAGCGAAAGAAAACCCAACTTAACTAAGCCAAAATTAACCTTCCTTGACATGACCTTTCCCTTAACTCTACATAGAGAGACTCCCTCCCTGTTCGTCCAGTACCAACCTCCTCCACGTCCAGTCCAAAAGTGGTTGCGTCTAGACACCCAGCCCAAACACTGCCGTTCCACAGCCAGATGCCCATTCGGTGCCCAACCTGGCCATACCCGAGCAAACTGCTCTTGCACAATCACGCACTGTGCCAACTGTGGCGCCCCCATAATGTAATTTTTATAGGCGGACCCACCTACAAATTTGAATCTGAGGTAAGCAACGCTCAATTCAAACTCGGGACTCAACTGTGTGAACCAGACAGAAGCACGTCGACGTGGATGCTCTCTTACTCCTTACTCCAGTAATACTGCTCATTCGAACACTTCTCCTAAACCCCCCCCCACCCTCTCTACATCTAACCCCCCCCACCTAACCCCACTACCTTCCCCAGTCAAACTCTTTTGCCATCCTAAATCCAGAAACTCCAATCTCTCTACAGATACGCCAATCACCACTACAAAACCCCTACACCTTCCTCGCTCCCTCCTCGCACTCCCCGTAACAGACAGTACAAACGTTCCATCCACCCCCTCTTCCCCTACCACCAATCACCCCCACCCATCCTTTGCCCGTACTCTTGAAGACACAGTCCCTCTCTTCCCCCCCTCACAAGATATCCGTTATCCCCCAAAACTCCCCAACCACCTCCACAGAAAGAAACTAGTTGAAAATATTCAAGATTACTAAATGAAAACCGACACTCAACTACAACTCCTCTCCTTCCACACTCCAATGTTCGCGGTGAGCCATCCTCCTCCTAACGATAACCCCCCTACACCTACCTCCTACCCCCCCCTCCCAACACAGCCCATTCCCCCCGACACCGACCCCAACCGCCACCCACAGTAACCCTCCCACCATCGCCCCCCTCTATCCCTGCCACTCCTCCTGAGACTCACTGAACCCTTATGTCACAAGTATCCCTCCTCATACCCTCCATCTCCTAATAACCCCTCCTGATATAACACCACTCCACACCTCGCCCGCTCAAACCTCTCAGTCCTTAATCCCACCCTCTACGGCTTCCCCTGCAAAGTCTCCAACACGTACTACAATCGATATCACTAAATCAAAGAAAGTATAACTATCCTTCATTGGAAGATGTGCGTTTCCGCTCCACAGACCGGACCATCAATCCTGCCGCCGTAAACCCATCTATTGGTATGCCTTCAAGAAACCTGTCTTATGCATACCCTTTATCTAATATACACCCGAGCCTTAACCCTTCACGCCTAATTCCTTTGCCCAGCTTAGACAACGAATCACTAACTCATCACCCTCACTACATTAACTATAGTGCGACATGACCTTAGATGCTAGCACATTTTATCTTCTTTTTAAACCATTATCCATGGCACCCTAACGGATCTCTCAATAACCTCCATTCCGACATAAGTACTTTGTACTGAAACTATCCCATCTCAACAAACTGCCTATCAATAACAAAATTTGGTTCATATTGTGAAGAAACTTACCCGCCTCACTAGGATGTTTTATCAACATTGCTACTCATTTCCTCGTAGAGGTCATCGGAAAGAACCCACCAACATTTGCCAAAATTATTTACTGTAGACGATGACCTTCACTTTAATGTTACGTTGTGAGGGTGGGAATGAGATGAGGCAATAATGATAAACAATGATGCAAATGAATACAAATATTAATAAAATAATGATATAAATAATGATAGTAATAATGATAATATATAATAACAATTACAATGATGACGATAATAACAAAAAGTGATGATGATGGTAATGATGATGAATAAAATAAACAAATAACGATAACAATAATAATACGAAAAAAAAATGGTAGTAATAATGATAATGTAAAAAAATGATAGTAAACATAAGATAATTTAGTAGTAAAACACTTAAATTATGAAAATGAAAATGATGAAAATTATAATAGAATGGTAATGGCACTAATAATAATACTGAAATAATTATAATAATAACAGCATGCTTTTAACAATCTCAGCAAATAATAATAGTTAATTTATCAATTATAAATCATCAACAACAATAAAAGTAATAGAAATGATAATGATAAATGTCTTCATTACCAATGCTGCTGTTTGTATTATTCCAAAAAGCGAATTTTCGATCGGTGGGTTAGTAGCCTGGGTGGGTGGGTGTAATGTATGTACATTTGAAAAAATATATATAATAAATATATAAATATATTATATCTATATATATATATATATATATGTACATATATATACACATATATAATACTATATATATATATACATTATATATATAATATATAATATATATATATATATATAATATATATATTATATCACACACACTCACTCACTCACTCACATCACTCATTCCGTACCTTGGTGGGCCTTTCCCTAAAGAAATAGATTTTGGGATAGTCAGAAGCTACCATGCTGGTGGTGTTGATGATTTGTTGATGGGTCACGAACGGTCAATATATTTGATAATGAAATGGAAATTGGTTGCATATGTTCATAAATCACAGGAACATGCAATGTACACATCTTAAAATATATCATTAACTCAATACTGTAGCATTCCCGTGTGAAGAACACATAGTAAGGATTTAGTTTTTATCAATGAGTTGCCCCAAGTTCCGAAAATGAATGGTCTCGATCAGTGGTTCCGAATCGATGGGTCGCGAGCAGCAGTAGATCGGGAAGAGGGATGGGTGTTTCCCGGAAGCCTTGGGTGCGGATCTTTAAGGCCCGATATGGCAGGAGTATCGTCCCGTGATCCCCACAAGCAAATTCAAGAAGAATAATGTCTTCAAGGAATGGGATATTTGCAATGAAGCGTATGCGAAAGTTAATAAAATATTCTCTCTCTTTCATGCTGTCCATCTTGTCCATGTAGTTCGAAAATTATGCTGTTGGCTGAACGCGGTTTCGCACTTGAATAAGAGGGCCACGAGAGTAAGAGGGTCCTGAACCACTGGTCGGGTGCCGGCCAGTCCATGTAAGAATCCCTTTGTAAGACAAGTATATACACACTAAAATATTCATGTTTGCACCCTTCCATTATTATTAATGAAAAGGAAGAGGATTACTGTTTTATAATTTTCTCATCAGACTGTATAGTATAAAACCAGTATGGCACACGCGAATATTTTATGTATTTGAGAATGGCAGAAACTCCGTACCCAAGAATCTTAATAGGAACCAAATGGAACCCATCAGGTGGCACAGTATTGGAGCACTCATGAAGTAGAGAACTTGGCACAGAGCTCCCGAGTAGTAGGATTTTGCCCCCAGGAAACGGTAACTTTACGAGGCAAAGGCAATCGAGGAAGGTGTGACCCTGATATGGTATGAATTTTCAATAAGCTTCTAGCCTTTAAAAGTTGCTACTGTAAAAACAATGATTTTAAGAAATAGAGAAATTAATGTAATTATGGGATAATAGTATGTGGGCCAAATAATAATGCAACTGAATATGATTCATAAAGGAACGGCATCGATAAAGATAATGAACATTAAAATAACATATAATGATAATGGATGATATTGAACAATAAAATAATGGTAAATGATATAGATGTATATTTATAGTAACAAAACACTACCTGATAACAACACCAATAACTAGGCCACCTCTTTATATCTGTAATCATTAACAATATCGATACAAAACCCCTCTTCTACCTTTATTGCAGCTGCATTCTGTTCCCTCGTCCATCTGGAGAGTCTACGTGCCTTAAACATGTTAAACATTCAAATAGGCAAAAAGACCCCCCACAGTGAAACTCACCCCGAACTGAGACGCTCCCGATTCGCCAGTAACTTTTTATTCTCATCACCTGACACGAATCCTTATGTCTGGATGTGTGTGGTACTTAGAAATACAGTATTCCCGTTGACATGTACCGTGTGAATTCAGTATCACAGCCGCTTAATATTTATTCCCATCTTTAATCCCGTTCTTTCCCAATCCTCATTACTCAAATAAAAAGTATAGAAAGTGTAGACAAAAGAATATGCATTTGACCATTTTTGGACCGCACACTCGATCATCTCGTATTTTCGTGTCCTGGCGACTAGTGCGCGCCACTTTTTACATCCAACCTATTAAGTATTGAAGATCCACATTGATTACCGTTATAATTTTTTAAAAAGTATTCCTTTTCGGTGTATGCCGCTCTCTCTTTCTCCCCCCTCTCTCTTTCTTGCGTTATGTGGCAGGTCATAGAACTGGCATAATGTCAAATACCTTTCAAAAATTAACATGCAGATCATATTTAATATGCACAAATTACCAATTTTGTGACGCGTGATGGAGGAATGGTTAACGTGGGGGGCTCGAATTCCTCAGACACCGCGTTCGAGACTGTTTCCTTGCCAAAGGGAATCACACGAGGCCCTTTTTTCAATCTTTCAAGTTTGTGATTTATTGTGTACGTGCGTTTGTTTGTATATTGTGTGTGTGTTGGTCCACAAGAGGGATAAAAAAACTCATTAAACATCCTTAAATGTTTTTAAATTTATTTCTGTATGGAATGAATAACTGCTATTTGCAGTCATCGCAGTGGAACGCACACTTACATACATGTTTTGAATGGCAAAATAATACTGTGTAAAAAAATAACACGATGACTAGCTACATGAAAACTATATACATGTTTTCAGAAGAAAAGAGACACTGAGAGAAGAGAGAGGAAGTGAGATAAAGAGAGAGAGAGAGAGCTGCTATAACGGAGACAGAGCAGTAAGACCAACTAAAATCAAATATTACAGCTGAGTCCCGACTGTTAAAATCTTCCTCCCACCCCCCCCCCCCCTCTCTCGCCTCTCTCTCTCTCTTCTCTCTCTCTCCTCTCTCTCTCTCTCTCGTCTCTCTCTCTCTCTCTTCTCATCTCTCTCTCTCTCTCTCTCTGTGGTGTGGTGCAAGGCGGTAACGATCTCGTCTAAGCAATCGGCGACCGCGTTCGAATCCCCGCCACATGGATGGTAACCCCGCCATTCTTGCGCACCGGATAATTTAGAAAGCAAATAAAACACATATGTCCCACCTAGATATCCATTGTAAACAATGAATCGCAAAACTAAATTATTATTATTATTTGTATTATTAATACTCGCTCGCTCTCTCTCTCTCTCTCTCCTCCTCTCTCTCCCCTCTCGCTCTCTCTCTTCTCTCTCTCTCTCTCTCCTCTCTCGCTCATCTCTCGCGCCTCTCTCTCTCTCTCTCTCTCTCGTCTCTCTTCTCTCTTCTCTCTCTCTCTCTCTCTCCCTTCTCGCGCTTTCGCGCGTTCCCTTCCGTTTCCCTCTCTCTCTCTCTCGCTCGGCCCTTCATCTCTCTCTCTTTCCGCGCTCTCTCTCTCCTCTATCTATCTATCATCTATCTCGATCTTTCGATTGCTTTCTCCATATTATATGCTTATGTCATCCTCACAAAGAAGTGTATCAAATATCGTGATTTTGGTCGCAAAGCAAGAATCATTCCTATCACTTACAGGTATTAGAGCCTATAAAAT